CCAATAAAAAGTCTTGAATTGCATTATCCAATGATCCAGTTTTTAATAATTGTTTTATTAAAAACGTTAAATTAAATTATTAAATTTTATTCAATTTTTAGCTCCCTTTTAATTTTAAGCTGACGCGTACGCTTGCCATATTTGTAGATTATGGTATATTGGCTGATATACCATAATGGTTAAGCCAATAAAAAGTCTTGAATTGCATTATCCAATGACATTAAATATCTGCTTTGAGATAATTTTTACTTAACAAGGTGTCAAAAAATTAGTGAACATAGCACACACATAGAAAATCATGTCGATGAGGCCACTCTTGCATAGAGTTGTTGGAATAAAGTCTCAAATATGGTAGTTCCTTATACGTTCAATTGCACGTTCAACATGAATTCTGAGAGTTGCAATCCTTCTGGTTGCTACCATTTCCTGTTCAGTGAACTGTCCTGATTGATTCATGAAGGGAGGAACATTCACCTTGACACCTTTCGAGGCTAACAATTCTTGAATGTTGAACCCACGATCTGCCATGACCTCATCTCCTTGCTGTAGTTTGTCAATAAAACCAGATTTACTGGTTATTTCCTTATCAGAAATACAGCCACCATAGAGATCTGAAATAAAACACAAACTGCCACCTGGGGTAATACCGACTAATGCCTTGAGGGTATTAGTATTCTTGTAAGTTGAAAATGTGAGCTGTTGTGCTTCTGGTTTACTAGGTTTTTCTATGTATATTTCAGTTAGATCAATGATGACTGTTGTTCCTTTGTACTTGTTTGTGAAGCAAGCAGGCTTGTGTAACTCAATTATTTGTCTGTCAGGAAAGATGTCTAGTTCTTTGAATTGGTAGTACATAAACTTTGTCCGAGCAATAATTATTCGGCTGACAAGACTCTGAGATATTCTAAATCTTGCAGCCAAATCCTCCTCTAGTAGACCAACTTTGTAGCGACATAAGACAAGGAAAAATTCCTGCTCCACTGACAAGGTCCTTTTCGGGCCTGCTTTTTCCCTTTTTTGAGCATCATTTTGTTCAGTGTTGCTGTACACAAGTTTGGAAGCTGCACCCTTACCTAAAAAGCTCAGGACTGTGCTGAAAACTTCATAGTTTGGAAAGCCAGTATAGAATCGCAACAACTTTGCATTACTCTTAATATTGTCAATGTTAAAGAGACTGTGTTGGAGCGTACTTTCCAACTCTTTCCTAAGCTCCCTTTCTTGTTCAAGTCGTTTCATTTTTTTTTCAAAAAGTTTTTCTTCGAGTTCCTTCCTCTGAACCTGGAGACATTCTTTCAAGCGACTCACTTCTTCTTCCTTTTCTTTAAGTTGCTCGATTAAAAGTTCTTCTTTGCTTTTAGCCGCCTCAGCTTTATCAGTAATGAAACTAGGAAATCCATCTTCTTGAAATGGAATATCTACAGATTTTAAATCAGCTAAATTATCGACAGAGTTAGACTGGGAATTCAGTAGAACTTCATCTTTGACTTCGCGCGCTTTGTTTTTGTGTCACCTGCAGCTGAGCGATCAACAGGAGCTTTCCGCTTTGGCTTTTCCTCCGGTGTAAAACTGAATCTTGTAAGAACAGATCCACTTTTCAGATATCGTTTTCCTCCCACACAACGCTTAAAACAGTCTTCAGAAAAGTGCTGACTGCAGAGATAAGAATGTTTCGACACAGGAGGGTCTTTTCTCTTCATTCTAAGCAACCAGGTTCGAAGAAGCTTAGCATTGTTTATAGGTAAAGAATGCCACGACAATTTTGAACATTCTGGCTTATTACTTCTGTTAACACATCCATAAGCGATGCAGTGCCTCACCATGATTTTGACAACAGAATTAGGCCGGATGAACAACCAGCTCTGCAATCACACACGAATGTTTGTTGAGGTGATTCCATTTGACCCGAAAGCCTCGCTTTCGCGCACTCTGTAACTAATACCGCTGTACTGTGGGCTCAACTGTAATAACAGCTATTTCAACTTGGAAAAGTAAGATTTGGAGAAGTGCCTTTGTTCTCTTGATTCATTCCAAGCAAACTTCGCAGGGTGAAATTACAAATACTTTGCAATCCATCAATCAGAATTTTGTTTTCATTGTGTTTCCTTTTACTCCTCTGCCATCTGAATTATTCGTCGAATAACTAGGGGAAGTAAGCAGCGGTTGGGAGACAAGCCGGCAACATAAAAGTTACGGAAGCCTTCATCGCATAATGTACAAACAGAGTGACGAGTATTATGTCTTTTCAACCATCAAACTGTATGCAGTTTTGTGGAACTCAACCACTCATCAGTCTCGAAAAAAATTGTTGCATAAATATTGGCGGAAAGATATTGATTATAGTAAGGTAAGTTCAGGAGTGAAAGAAGTATGGGTATAATGGGTTACGCTGAAATTTGTTTTGAACTTTGGTAATACTTTGCCCCCGGAACTCAAATATAAAGACATTCGAAAAACTTTATGTTGCGCGTGCGTCCTTGTTATGCTGTAAGCGTTTGTCTCACGATGAAATCGCTTTCGCTGTGAACTGCACACATTAGAGTTCCACATCGGAAATGACCACATCGTGAAACAAACTATTACAGCGGAGCTTGCAGTGCAGGCGCAAAGCCCCATAGTTATATAAAAGAAAAAAATCGGGGGTAACCAATCAAGCCGAGAAAATTTAGTCTGCAAGAGCGTCAAAAGACTGGAAATCATTCCGATCAAGAGAGAAGCCACATGGTAGCGTCTGTGCGCCATTTTGGTCGGTCGAGTGGTGTGGCACCCGGTCGTGTCTATTTTGATGAAGTCACCGTTTTAAGATATATGGCATCGTTTTCTCCGTCCACACTAGAAAACTCCGTTTTCAAAAAGCATCGTTTTCAAATCGCTCTAATCTGGAGAGCGTTTTCGAATGGCTCCCTTCTCGGTGATCGTTTTCGGAGGATTAGTGGGGACGGGGCCTTAGTTATAAGATGAATAATTCGGATGGCATAGGATTTCAAATTCTGATTTATGGCTGGCAAAATAATTTCACCCTACGAAGTTTGCTTGGAATGAATCAAGAGAACAAAGGCACTTCTCCAAATCTTACTTTTCGAAGTTGAAATTGTTGCCTTTAATCCTAAAAAAAAAGCAGACACGGAATCGAACAACGTTTCCTTCTAATCTACCCCAAATTATCTTATTTTTTACTTCGAAAAAAGAGAACAAAAACCATCGTGATCCTTAAATACTGTAGGAGTCCAAATTATAAACAAAAAGGTTCAATACGGCTTTAATATAATGTGATAAATTAACTAAAAAATCGTCAATGAAGTCATTTAAAATGTGACGAGGACTAAGAAGGGAGTGTTCTTTGGTTTAACCTCAAGTTGATAACTATTGGACATCGAATTAAATCAAAATGCGTAAATTACTACGGTTATAAGAGAACACTCTAAATAAACTCAAATTAAAATAAAATTAGGTAAAATGAAGCGGATGAGGGGTGGTTCAATTATCTGGATTTGATAACCCTCAGCCATCCGGATCTCGAAACATTTTAAAACTAGAGCGTGAACAATTTATATTGTCTTACCCTGGTATCGGTTCTTTGTGGGATATAATTTCTATGCGCTTGCGTAAACAGTCCATTCAAACTTACACTTGATGACATTTTCCCCTCATTTAGCCTTTTGTCCTATATAGTGCGAATAACCTTTGCTATGGACTAAATTAACAAATGATAAGTTCATCAGCACACCCCAGTTTTGAGTGGATACGAACTGCTAGCCATCTACAACTGAGAAGACATGCTTTGGCTATTGGCATAACCATTATACATCGTTCTTTTTTTAATTGTTCTTGTGCTTTAAGCGATAGTTTTCTTTTTATCATTTTAACCTTCTAATAAATGTCTCTTTTGAAACTGAACAAACAGACAAATCTGAGAAATCTAGGAAAGGAAATTTAACTGATATAAATTGCTGACCTTGCTCAGTGTAGAGCAATGATTGTCACAGGGCTTGGATTAATGTCGCGCTTCGCCAGTGTCAGATTTGAGCTGTTTTGAGCTTGATACAAGACGTTTGCATTGAGAAATAAACACATTAATAATTTTTAGACTATTAGAGGCGAACCCTATGAGTATTCAGATAACGTTTGGATCTCTCACGGCAATTTTTACTAAACTGCTGACGATTGCTCAACATTAAATACCAGATTGATGACAAATGTAACGTTCCTTTTCTTCAGTCTTCTTATAATAGGAAAAATCTTTCACAATTTTGGTGTAGAAATACCTATTTTAATTCATTAAGTAATTGAGTAGTTAAAGACGGTTCGAGGACAGTCTGCTATAAACTCTGGGGTGCGACTTACATTTTCAGTTTACGTATGCAAATTTGGAATCTTTGTTATAACTACCAATGAGACAATAAAAAGAAACAATGAGAATGAAAATTAATGGAACTGGCTATTTTTTATTTGAATGAAATAGTTTAATAAAGTTCTAATTTATCCATAGCCAGATGATAAAAAAGAAGTATTATCTTCAATTTTTTTGGGGGTCCAATAGAAGACAAAGAGAAAGGGCCAGTTTAGTTAGAACAGACTGAAAATGCAAATGTGGAAATTAACTCCAAATTATATCATTTTTTACCTGATTAAAAAAACCCGTCGTGATTCTTGAATAGGAGTCCAAATTTTAAACAAAAAGTTCAATACGGTATTAAGGTAACGTGATAAATTAACTAAAAAATCGTCAATGAAGTAAAAAGTGATGAGGACTAAGAAGCGAATGGGGAGTGTTCTTTGGTTTAACTTGATAACTCTTGGACCTCGAATCTAATTAAAATGTGTAAATTACTATAGTTATGAGATAACTCTCTAAATAAACTCAAGTAAAAATAAAATGAGGTCAATGAAGCGGATGAGGGGTGGTTCAATGATTTGGATTTGATAACCCTCAACCATCCGGACCTCGACGTGAAGAAGAGAGCGTGAAGTATTTATATTGTCTTATCCTGGTATCGCTTCTTTGTGGGATATAATGTCCGTGCGCTTGCGTAAACAGCTCATTCAAGCTTACACTTGATGACACTTTTCCCTCATTCAACCTTTTGTCCCATATAATGTAAATGATAATTTCATTGGTACACCTCTGTTTAATTGGATATGAATTAATATCTATCTACAAATAATATTTGGTTATATAAACTAAGTTGTAATTGTAAATTGGTTACCGCAAAGAGTTAAAAACCTGAAGATTCGAGCGTTAGCCCTTCGTCGGAGCGAGAAACTTACAATTTCAACTTAGTTGATATAACCAAATTACATTGTTACCCCCTCCGACGCGCAGCACCGCAGTTTCTTTAGAAACTCTCACCCTTTACAAATAATATTGCTGATATGACCAGCTTTGGCTATCAGAGGCGAACTCTATGTGTATTCAGATAACTTTTGGACCTCTCACGGCAATTTTTACTAAACTGCTGACGGTTGCAGGGAAAGTCTTTCACAATTTTGGCGTAGGAATACCCATTTTAATCAAGTAGTTACGTTGTTAAAGGCGGTTCGAGGACAGTCCGTTGCTAACTCAGTGGTGCGACTTATATCTGCAGTTTACGTATGCAAATTTCGAATCATTGTTATAAATACCAATGAGATAATAAAAGAAAACAATGAAAGCAAAATTAATGTGGAAACTGGCTATTTTTATGCTTTGAATTAAATAGGTTCTTTGAATGAAATAAGTTCTCTTTTTATCCATAGCCAGATGATAACAGAGAAATATTATCCTCAACGGTTTTTAGGGTCTACAGCAAACAACTTTGCTAAATATTCTTACTGTAAGAGAAAAAATCCAGGTCCATTCGAAAAAATCGGTCCATCCAACCTTTTTTTGTGCACAGAAACTTGCATCCTCGGTGGCGTGTTGGTATTCAGCCGTCGAACACCTTTGAATATGACTTTCGGTGGGAGTTTTTCGCCATTTGCTTTCACCGCCAGAGCAACCGTGAAACTTTCTTAGTTCCATCACACTTTTTGTTAACTCTTTGTTTATCGTATATGAGCACGATCCTTCGCAGTAAAGCACTATTTGAGCAATAGTGAAAATCAGACCTGAAAAAAATTTCAGGCCTGTACGGGATTCGAACCACTGACCTCTGCGATACTAGTGCAGCGCTCTACCAATTGAGCTAACAAGCCAACTGGGAGCAGGCCATCAAATTAATTCGACATAAACCCGTAGATGATAAATCAAACAACAACAAACATATGAAACATATGTGTGAACTGCGGTTATGAGACGTATATGAGCACGATCCTTCGCAGTAAAGCACTATTTGAGCAATAGTGAAAATCAGACCTGAAAAAAATTTCAGGCCTGTACGGGATTCGAACCACTGACCTCTGCGATACTAGTGCAGCGCTCTACCAATTGAGCTAACAAGCCAACTGGGAGCAGGCCATCAAATTAATTCGACATAAACCCGTAGATGATAAATCAAACAACAACAAACATATGAAACATATGTGTGAACTGCGGTTTGCCGAATTAATTTGATGGCCTGCTCCCAGTTGGCTTGTTAGCTCAATTGGTAGAGCGCTGCACTAGTATCGCAGAGGTCAGTGGTTCGAATCCCGTACAGGCCTGAAATTTTTTTCAGGTCTGATTTTCACTATTGCTCAAATAGTGCTTTACTGCGAAGGATCGTGCTCATATACGTCTCATAACCGCAGTTCACACATATGTTTCATATGTTTGTTGTTCTTTGTTTATCCTTGAACCTCGAATCTAATTAAAATGCGTAAATTACTACGGTAGTAAGATAAAACACCAAATAAATTGAAGTTAAAAAAATTACACGATCAATGAAGCGGTTGAGGATTTACTAACTCTCAACCACCCAGACCTCGCTGAAGTTAATAGGCCATTTTACAGTTGTGTGCTTAGTTGCCAAGCCTTTGATTCAGAGTGAGGCTAAAGATGACCTTGTTGTGATAGAGACCTTTATCTAGTTAGCATGATAACAAAGAGATTTATATTTGAAAGGCAGCGAGGTTTGCATTATGACAAGGTCATCTCTAGCCTCACTCTCATTCAAAGGCTTGGCAACCAAGCACACAACTGTAAAATGGACTATTGATTGTGAACAATTTATGTTTTCTTACCCTTGTATCGCTTCTTTGTGGGATACAATGTCTATGCGCCTGCGTAAACAGCTCATTCAAACTTACACTCGACAACATTTTCCCTCATTCAAGTTTTTGTCCCATAGAGGGAGAAATAACCATTGATAGGGGCTAAATTAACAAATGATAAGTTCACTGGTACACCTCAGTTTGAGTGGATATGAACTGCGAGCCATCTACAAATTATATTGTTGACATGACCTGCTCTGGCTACTGGTATATCCATTATACATGTTTTTTATTGTTGTTGTTGTTCAATTGTTGCTTTAATCAATGTTTTCTTCTATCACTTTGAGCTTCTAATAAGTGTTTCTTTTGAAATTGAACAAACCGACAAACCTAAGGAATCCAAGAAAGGAAATTTTACTTAGATAGTTTGTTGACCTTGTTGTCAAGCAGTGATTGTCACAAGTTAATGCCTCGTTTTAACAAACGGCCAGATTGGAGCTGTTTTGAGCTTGATAGAAGACGTTTGCATTGAGAAATAAACACAATAAATAATTTTAGACGATTAGAGGCGAACTCTATCAGTACTCAGATAAGGTTTGGACCTCTCACGGCAATTTTTACTAAACTGCTGACTGTTGCTAAACGAAACATCAAATTCCAAATTGATGATAAATGTTTCCTTTAAAGCCTCCTTTTCTTCGATCTCCTTACACCAAGGAAAATCTTTTGCAATTTTTTTGGTGTAGGAATATCTATTTTAATTAAGTAATTAGGTCAGTATTTTAAGATGGTTCGAGGACAGTCTGTTCGAAACTCTGTGGTGCGACTTGTATCTGCAGTTTACGTATGCAAATTGGAATCGTGGTTATAAATACCAATGAGACAATGAAGGAAAACAATGAAAGCAAAATTAATGTGTAACCTAGCTATTTTATACTTGACTGAAATAAGTTCATGAAGTTCTTTTTTATCCATAGCCAGATGATAACAGAGAAGTATTATCTTCAACGGTTTTTTTAGGGTCCCCTGTAAACAACCAATTTTGCTAAATATTCTCACTGTAAGAGAAAAAACAAACTTTCTACCTTGGTTCATGTGTTGTTTATCCCCACCTTCCCTAAATAAAAAAAAAAATTAAAAAAGACGTGCAAAAAATTTTGGAAAAGAGGAATCATAGCAGTGAACGGAGGGTCTTTTCAAAGAAAGGATTCTGATTTAGTAACGCTTTAAAATTCCGCATATCATTAGTAATCATCTCTGAGTGAGGTGTTCACAACCACTTCATTGTGGGATAACTATGCGCATAATCATGCGCATAAACTGTACGCAGCTCTATGCAACTCAAGTACTTAGATATAAATCTCTTTAAGGACATGACTGCCTTCATAGGGGGATATAGCAATGTAATGAGGTGTTTCTGTTTGCTTCCCGAGCGCAACTTTTGTGGAAACTCAAGTGGTTGCTTACTGTGAGACGACTTTTGATAAAGTTTTGTCCCCCACTCCACCATCCCCACCGTCCCCCCCTTCCTCCACATAAAAGGTTAAAAAATGCCGCAGTGGGTGAAAGTTTCAAAGTAATGTACTTGGCTACATTTGAACCCTTTACAGCCTAACATCTGTTTGTGAGTCCTTAATACCGTTCTCTATACGCGTCCTAAAGTGCTTACGAGGAGAATTTGTATAATAATCAAAAGCTTCCTTAGTCAGTGATCATTTCCCTTATTCTCATAACTTTAAGCTTTGATTCAGGGGTGATACTGTAAGGAGAATTTAGACGCTTATCACTGTTAAGGATCAAAAGGCAACTAGATGTTCCTTGTTCTCCCATTTTCTGTCGAGTGTTTAGTAAAGACAGTCAATTTCTTGACAAACTAACTTTGTATTTAAAAAATCCAACATCATATCCATTTTTATAAATATTTCATCTATCGTAGAATAAAATATTTACCATTTTCCTCCACCACAGAAAAAGTATCTATTATTTTTCTTCTCACATTGTAATATTAATTTTTAATGTCATTTAAAAATATATTTATTCTATTTAATAACATTTTAACTTCTTTTTTCAAGTCGCTTAGTTAGATGATTCAGATAGGTACTAGTACAGTTCTGAACAATTCTTTCTCAATAAAGAGTACCTGCTGAATCAGGAAAAAAATTGGCTGAGACAAAAATATGCCGTGAGTCGTTTTAAACCGATCATATACTTAATTATGTTAGCCAATAAAAATTCTTGACTTTACCTTATTTGATTAGAGGCTGCTTGCTATTGGACATATTGACAGCCAATGAAAAGTCAGGAGAAAGAGGCTAGGGTAGTGGTCAATAATATCTATCCACCCATTCCAAGTCAGTCAATTAAGATCTCTTAAAAAAAAAATCCTCTGTTGTTTTGCTGTCTTTCGGTCAGCTCGAAAACAACAGTGGTAAAATTTACTGATTAAGAGACTAATAATTAAAAGCTCGTTTAGCAAATTACATTTAGAAAGTGGCTTGAAGACAAAGTGTATACAGTTGGAGGATTTTGCACTTTCCTCGTGTATTTCTTTAATAATTGCATGAAAAGAGCAGCTCTCCAAGAAACTGTTTTAAAATGCAAATAAAAAGAAAGAAAGACAAGAATAAAACGCGGGTTGGACAACTCTTGCCAACAGTATCTTAGACCTTTTCTAAATTAGATGTCGAGGTATTAATCAGTGATTGCCCCTGATCCTTTTGATCTGTGACAGTAAGTGGAGACTCAATATATTTGTATTTTCTGGCGAGGAAAACAAAGAGCAGGAAGTTTACAAACATCACGCCAGCGAGGAAAAAGAAGTAGTTTTCTAGTTTTCCCGCGTTCAAGTCCTGCGGGTACCAAGAACCGTCACTGGCCCTTTTTGCTATCGCTGCCAGAGCCCCAGCCACATAGAAGCCTATTCCAATAGTGGCCAGATTTAAACCCATGATCACTCCGCGAAGATAGAGAGGGGACTGGGAGTAAGCAAACGCCAGACCTAGAATGGGGAAAAAAGGCAAAAAGATCATTCTTCCAAGAAATTAGTATGGTTTAGTATGGCAGGTTTACACTCGCCCTATTCCATACAATAATGTATTTGAAGATGAATGATTTTCAAGTCATAATTCCCAGATCTGCGATTTTCTTAAGTTGTGCTGCTTTTTCTTCTCGGAAAGCATGATGTTGACGTTTCAATGTTGTAAATTGCTGATTAACTTTCCGCTGACTATTCACCGAAGCAAAAGTAATGACTGCGCTTTCCCCTCTAAAACCCGTATAAGGCGTGACTCAAGTTTATAGTCATGGACGTTTCAAACAACCCCTTCCGTCACGTAACTGTTATCCAAGGGAACCCTACAAGAACAAAAAAAAAAATGTTGCCCCCCCCCCGCCCCTCGCCCACCCTCGGAAACAGCACAATTCACACCACGTGATCGCACACTGCAAAGGATATATTGTCACAGAACTGTTTACATTAATAGTGCTAAAGGTGAGTCAATTATTAACGAGATGCACGTCAATGTTGGGAAAGTGCCGCTGGTCTACTCGTTTCAGTTCATCTTCAGATAACGCATTAAAACACTCGAGAACGAAACTAAAACCTCCTAACACGTTAAAGCTTTGAGGATTATCAAAATTCAGTGATAAGAAATATCATTCCTCTATGACAAGAATCACAACTCCTTTGCTATAAGGTTATTTGGAACAATATCCAGACCAAAATGAAGGACGGAAAAAGCGCCCTGGGAACGAGGTTGCACACTAGACATCCTTTCGCTCAGTCCAACAGCTTACCTGGAATCGAGGTCAACACTTCTCCAGTTCCCTGGAGCACGTACTGAGGGACTTGATAAAAGATATTCATTTGGGAGGCATTAACTGGAGTGTCGAATGGATGCTGTTCAAAATAACCATGTGTGTCGATGTATTTTTTCCTTTCGATCTCCATTAACCCCGCCATGAAAACAGACCCCATGGCAAACAGCATTCCAACACCCATTTTCTTCAGGGGGGTGAAGTCGATGCCGAAGTAACGGAGGGATGGGTAGATAATGCGATCTACAATGGGTATGAGGATTAATAGCATGGTGATCTCGAAGAGGTACAGAGAGGCCGCCGGCATCGTAAAGTGCTGGGACAGCTTGAGTTTCATGAACGAACCTTGAAGGAGGTAGCTTGTTTGGCCCTAAGAGGAAAAGCAAGAGGTTGTAGACGTTACCTAAACTCCTTTCAAAAAGTACCGGCAAGATAGCCGAGGCTATTTTAAGGGTAGGAAAAGTTCCGTTTGTAGGTGTGGCATTGGCAATGCCCTATCGTCGTTGGGTGTCGTTGTTGCTGTTGCTGTTGTTGTTGGTAAGACGGGTATGGCGGCCTGAAAATTACCACTATATATCACCCATAGTATATAAAGCGCATTCGAACCGCCCAAATTACACAATAACATTTTCAAAAGACGGTATCCGAGTCAACCTGCAAAGAATGTTTAACGGCTATCAATGAAATAACTTGAATAGGACCCTTCAGTTTGTCTCCATCTCTAATCGCTTACCTGCCCATAAATCGTCCAGTACAGAATAAATGTCATGAATATTGGAACTATTCTCAACACTGACTTGACATCTTCGACTCGCTGATCCTTGTAAATTCCTCCCAAACTCTCCTTAGCCCGGTCCAGCCAGTGGGACCCAACTCGCGCGCTTCTCTTGCAACGAATCTTCTTTAACCCATCCCATATTATTTTCAAGGTTTCAGATAGGTAGCTTCCTTTATGCGGATGAGTAATGTAGTATTTTCTACCACTTACGAATAAAATGACTGCTAAGAACATTGACAGAGCGGTTATGACATAACCATAGAAGAACGACACCTCTTGCTGCACCGAAACGACTGCGGTGTAAGCTAAGAAAGATCCTAACTGAATAAACCAGTAAAACCAGTCAAAGAAGCGCTGGATAACTATGGGCCCTTCATTTTCGATCTGATCTGCCCCTAGGGGGGATACATTGGCTTTGATTCCACCAGTTCCGACGGAAATAAGAAGTAACGCAATTCCTAAGAATGCCTCTTTACTTCCGGTGCTCAGTCCAAATATGGTACCGTAGTCAAATGTCGCAGCACCCAGAACGATGGCACCGACCACATAAAGCAAAGAGCTTCCATATATAGTGTTATAACGCCCTAGAAAAGTATCCGCAACCCAGCCACCGATCACAGGCGAAAAAAATGAGGTGCCTTAAAGAAAAATATAACTGAGTTAGATTTCAAGGGAATTCTCAGAACTAATTATGTTCTTGAGTTAATGTAAGATTACGCCTGACTCTGGTATCTCTTCAATGTCTATAAAAAATTCAAACAATTGATCTCGTTTTGCCCGTTCAGTGCTGCTTTTACACGAATAACACTTAATGAATGGGCACAAAAGTACTGGGATTAACTTAAAACGCTCCATGTTGGGTGCTTGCCCCTCCCACGTGATCCAAGGAAATGAGTGGGAAAATGAGACACAGCTTGCCCTGACTTGACTTTAGTAAAACAGCTTCATCAATAAAGAAAATATTGTTCACAAATTCATCATTTCTTAAACAGTAAACACTGAGCAATAGTGGTAACTCTTTAACCCAAGATATTTTATCCAGAACTTTCCCCTAGAGCTGCTGTTCCTTCGATTATTGATAACTTAAGAGAATCTGATGTCAGTTATTGTGCAAAACTTTCTATTAGTTGATCTTATGTTTGTTTTGTGTCTTTTTTATTCAACACCTGTTTGGCAGTATGATGAATTGATATGTTGGAGAGAAGTTAGAGGTTAATCACCTAGGGGAGGGGGATTCATGACAGGTTATACACTTTTAGATACTTCCAGGTACAAGGGATCACTGAGTGACTTCTCCTAAGCTTGCAACTTAAACACATTGTCAATTTAACAGGCCGGCCTCCACTTATGCTAAATGAGCAATTAACATGAGAAGATCAGTGGCCCCAGGGCAGAAAATGCTATCTGAGCTATAAATTCCTATACAGCAGACAATCATTAACTCAAGCACTAGTACTGAGCAATCCAAGGCATAGAGATTTATCCTGTGGATGGCATTAATCAACCTTTCAAACAGCTAGGGCCTGTTAGCATTATTTATTCATTTATTTATTTTTTTTTTTTAATTTTTTGCTCTGAGGGAGCCCAATATCTATGAGCCCCATGATTTCTCTTTGGGCTTCCTTGCCACTTTTATTTGTTTTTGTGAAACTGTCTTGTTTTTTATCGTTATTTGCATTTTGTGGTAAAATATTATTTGTATTTTGTGGTAAATTTTGTGGTAAATAAAGATATTATAAGAACCATGCATGCAATGTTTGGAGACCATTTGGTTATGGATTGATGGCTATTTGTTAGTGAGGTTGACAGAAAAGCAAAAAAAAGAATGGAAATGCCAACAGCCAGCAATCACAACATGTTTGTTTACAATAATACTCACTAACATTTCTCAAAAGTATCAGGTAATCATTAAACATGCATGAAATAAGAAATTCATCCACACCTTTATTTGCATATGATTCCCTAGGCATAGGGATACTAAGCTAATTTGCACACAAAAAGAAAATGGACTTCAAACTATGGTAATTAAATCAGAGTTCTAAAATCAAGAAGTGTGTAACATAAAAACTTGTACATAAAAAAAAAGAGGCTTTGGTGACTGATTCCAAAAGATGAGAGGAACTCAAGGAAAAAAAAGAAGAGGATGAATTTCTAAATAAACTGTGTTGCCATGGTACAGTGAGGGGTAATTTTGTGTTATCAACGGAGTTGATATTGTAAATTGATCACTGCAGAGAGTTTGTAGAGTTTTTTTTCAGAGTGAATGAAATGGAGGTAAGACTAAGCAGTCCCTCCTTTTCAGTAAAGTCAGTGGGGCGAGTCAAAAGAAAAACATTAGTGAAAAAAAATTGTCGTTAGTGCACCACAAGGAACTCTTGAAGTGACACAGATGCACTACCGTTTCTCACCTAATTTCCAAGCACCTCACTCGTGGAGTTCCTGTGGTGCATTGGTATCACTTCAAAAGTTTCCCACGGCATGCTAACATCATCTTTTCTTTCATTGATATTTTTCTTTTCCATGAGTGACAAACTTTCCCAAAAAGGAGAGACTGGTTGTAGTCTATTAAAACCAGGGCTCAACAATAACTTTTCAACTTACTAGCCAAGTGGCTAGTGACATCTTAGATGTTACAACAATTTCAGTTTGTGTACTAGCCAAACTGGCTTGTGGAAATCAAAAACCACCAGCCAAACCTGAATTTCTACTAGTTTGTGGTTAGTTGGCTACCATTAGTGTTGAGCCCTAAAAATGTTAGCTTTACTTACTCTCTACAGTGGCCAATTGACAATTATAACACTAAATTATCAAGCAAGAAAACCTACCTCTTTCTGTATAATCCTGACTGTCTTTATTGTTTGCATGTTTCTACCAGGACCCATACATGCTTTCTTCAGGATTCTAATTTACTGTCTATATTTTTCTCCCAAGAGCTAAGGGCTGGCTTTTTACCAGGAAAAAGCTCTTCTTTAAAATAAACCTTACATCTCATTGGTCAACCTCAATGTCAATTTAGTAAGGCATTATTTAATCAAGATCATTACTAACAATTGTAAAAAAATAGTTTCTAGGAAAAAAAAATTAAATTAAACTAATCTACCTTGAAATGCAAGACTGACACTGCTAGGCAATGGAGCTTCAAGCTTCAAGTAGTCTCTGCAGTACAGCACAAGGTTTGCCACAATACCATAAAATGTGAGACGTTCACATAGCTCCGTAAATAAAATGCACACCACCAACAAGATCCTGGTTCTTCTGCCAATGCGCTCAAGTTGAGGGTCCACTACTGCATTACTTTTGCTGGCTTCACCAAGGATTGGTTCCAGCTCTGGATCTTCCTCATTTCCCATGGTTGGCTTGTAAAAAGAAGTTGATTTTAATATAGTAAGAATGTATAAATTAAATCAGATCATTGCAAAAGCTTCTCTCATTAAAGCATAGAATGGTGACTGGCCTATGAATGAATTATTTAAGCAATAGAGAGCACTTTAACCCACACGGAATTAGGGAGAACATAAAATTCATTTGTACATCATGAGCTGGATCCAAGTGATTCGCACATTTCCCTCGTCAGGCTCTCCCAACATGTTCACGCGCACAAAGCTTATCGATATCACATCAACATGTAACTTTGAGAAAAAACAGTTTTTTTACTATTTTCTATTGCTAGGATAACATGAGAGTGCTATTAATTAATCTTCTCGAGAGAAATCTAAATGAATTGGAAATATACTCGCGATTGTATTATTTTAGCAGCTACCAGGAGACATAACTCACAGTAAAGTATGCCCTGTTTCTTCCGGAAGGGAAATTGTCACGTTTACGGTAAATTTAAGGCTTGAGCTTACCTTTGCCGCTACATAATAGATGTTTGATCTTAGACGAAAGTGAATCGTATTATGCAAGGGTACAATTCGAATAGTGTCGAAATAAATGTTACAGTTTGCGATTAAAATAGCAAGTAAAGGTAGATTGCGTGACGAGACCGTCTGTGGACCGTCAGTTTATATGTCACGAGGTGTGTCACGAGATATCTTTTGAACTCCTTTAGCTCCCACTCTCCCTCCTACGTATGATGCACGATCCTCGCAGTAGGATCTTTTTATACATTGTCGGTAAACCTTGACAAGCAGGAAATAGGGAAATTTTCGGAGGTAATAATTTCTAAACGAACAGTTTTATTGAATCAGCGGGCAAAACGAAGAATCGTTTGGTTCGTAACGATCTGAAAGTTGATAAAAAGGGATATCTTACCACAAGTGGCGGTGATGCCAAGGGCAATTTGCCGTTGTAGATACGAGTTCAAACAACGCTGCTCGCGTTAACGTGTCCTTCGTGTACAGTGAAAGAATCGTTTTATGTGACGTCCATACATAGTGTGGTAAAATTAACAAACCGACAGTGGCTAAAGATTGTTGTTCTGTATTCTTATCGACAACGATATCCGTCATCACAGTGGTCACAAAATATTTGTTGCGGACTCATGCACTCACCTGCGCCTCGTGAGTCCCCAACATTTTTGACCATGCACTGTGATGACGAATATCGTTGTCGATGAGAGTACAGACCACTCTAAACCACTGTCACTTTGTCAAATAGGTCGCAAAGAAAATAATTGAAAACTGACGCTCAAAGTCTGGGGAAAGTGAGGTGGGGGGGGGGGACACAGGTGGCGGACGGGAGGGGAGGGAAAGTGGAGAAGAGTAGTTTTCATTCTCCGTACTGTGTGCCATACAATTCTTGGAATCTTGGCATCAAATATTTCTCTTTCATTATTCTCATCACTTGGCTGTTTGATATTGTATAAGTATTCTGAGGAGTAATTCTGTCTTTTTCTTTGCTCATTTCTCACAGGACATTTCCTTTACCTGTGGAATTCATGTTTCTCACATCCAAAAGATCAATCTCATCAGTTCTGGTGTGGAAATATTCCAATCATGATCCCTTTCCTAAATTGATAACAATTGTTAAGTGATTTGTGAGGCAAGGAAGGAAATGCATGGATTAAAATGATCTACTGAGGTGAAGTTTATTTTCATTTCTGTTTGGTTATTGCTAGTGTTCCATTTTCTTGAGGAGGTAGGGGAGATTTAGGTAACAGCAAAGCTTCCAGTCCTACACTCCTCTGTCTATGGTATATCCTTATCTAATTCAAGAGTGCTTGTCGCATAAATCTTCTAATTAACTTTTAATAAATAACATTAAAAACTAGGTGGCAGATAACATGAATTGAGAGGATAACTTAAATTCTCTAATTTCCAAGACAGGCAAACACAAAATCAAAATTATTTGTGAATTCAGATGAGTCAACCTTTTGCATCCTGCAAGCTAAATGAGTAAAACTGCCCAGAAACTCAATCATAATATAAATTATAGTATTTAAGAATGATGAAAACATGCCAAAGAGTTGATTGATTTTGCAGTTTTTTTCTTCCTTTGTATTGCAACTCCTTGACACTTTGATTGGTTTATAGCTGGCTGTATCTAGGCCCATGCATCTAGGATCATCAACATTGAATTTGGCAGGTGTTCACAAAAGTTTTTGCACATTCAGTAGCAAATGGACACATCACTCAGCCATGCACAGATGAAACACTAACAGTTAGTTCATGGGTGTCTTGGTCATCTTCAGTATCTTCACTTTCTGGGGATGATTCCTTGTATTTATACGAGGATGCAATGCACAGAAACAACAGGAAATTAAGTGTCATCAAACCAGCCATCATGAAGGAGAAGTACTCCATGTGACCTTGATTGGGATCTTTTGCAGGATACCAATCTTCGTTGACAACAGCAACTAGAAGGTTTGCAACATAGCTTCCTAAGCCAGAGGCTGCTAGAAATAAGGCCATAATCACTCCTTTGAGGTATTCAGGAGCCTGTGAGTATGCAAACTCCAGACCTGGAAAGACAAAAAAAAAAAAATTCATCGTCGATTTCTACAAATTCACCCTCATGGAAAAAACATGGTAATTTCTTACGTAGAGTGGGAGGAGATGCAAGACACAGGTGACCATGGGCAAAAGGAAAATATTTGACTATGAGTACGCACAGCTTACTCCTTTCCAGGCATAAAATAATTAGTTCTCCATGAAAAAAAAAGGGGCTAGGTTGTTATTTTCAAAGGCTTGGCCGCAGTGTCAAAAAAGCAAAGTTAAAGTAATCCTAGTGACTGTGCAATCATGGCAAAGTTGGCCAATGAGAACTCAATGTAAAAACAAGCAAACCACTTGAAGTGAGGAAAATGAGAATAACCAAGTCATGATTATTTTCAGTCTTGTATCTGATTGGTTGAGAGGATAGCAAAAGATTTGTGGACGAATCATCCAGAGCTAAATTATGTAAAACCAATTGAAAGCAATTTCAGATTACTTTTGACACTTAATTGACAACTGTTTAAAAACATAGGTAAAATTCACTTACCAGTGATAACTGCTAACACTTCAGCAGATCCAATCAATAGGAACTGTGGTGTTTGCCAGAAAATACTGAAACACGAGGCACTGTGACTTTCACCAAAAACTGTCTGTACGCAAATGTCCCCATTTTGCCATACTGTCCGTCGTTTTATTTCAGTCAGCCCAGCTATAAGCATACTTGCTACCATTAACATGTAACCCACACCAATGCGTCGTAAGAATGTCAACTTGATCCCACTGCGCTCAGTAAGAGGGTAAATTACATGATCCATGAGAGGAGCAAGCACCAGAATAATAACTATGTCAAACAGTGCTAAAGAGGCTGCTGGTACGGAAAAGCCTTCAAAATTTAGCTTCATGAATGTACCTTGAATGAGAAATGATGTGTTCATCTGAAAGAAAGGGGAAAGAAAAGTTCAAAGCTTGAAAATGCCTTAATTAAATTTTTTCAATAATTACTTTTGACAAGTTTCATTTTGGTTTTTGATCTCTTCTTTGTTTTAAAGCTTGTGATCTGATCACTAGCTGCCTAAAGTGAATCAGAATTATTTTAAGTAACATGCAAGATTCTCAGATTAGCAGATTAATTTACACTCAGGGAAGAAATTTTATTCTAACAGTGCCATGTTAAATCTGATGATGTTTATTGAAAAAAAATAACAATGTAGCATCATCATGATGATGTAGCATGGAATTTTCCTTCCTTTTTAATTTTTTCTAAATTTTATAATATCCCAAAACATTCCTTCATCTATAATTGCTATGATTTCATAGTGGCAAAGCCTCACCTGAGAGTAAACTGCAAAAAAAAAGATGAAAGTAATGAACACTGGAATTAGCCTCAACACAGCCTTGACATCTTCAACCTGAGCATCATCAAACTTTCCTCCAAATCTGATCTTTGCTCCATCCATCCAACCGCCAGTGTTCTGTTTACGGTTTTTAATGGCATTGTGGATTATTTTTGCAGTTTCAGTCAGTTGACTACCACCTGGTGACCTGACCAAGTACTTATTACGACGGGTGATAAATACAATGATTACAACGAACATCGCACCCACTGCAATGGCGTAACCAGAGAAAATGTCTGACTGTTGGACCCCAACCACCACAGTATAAGCTAGGAGAGCTCCAATGTTAATGAACCAATAAAAATAGTTGAAAAAGCTCTGAACAGTTCGTGGACCATCCTGTTTCACCTGATCTGCTCCAAAGGGTGACACGTTGGCTTTGATTCCTCCTGCACCAAATGCTATCAACACAAGGGCAATGATAAAGTACACCACTCTCGCCGAGGTAGCAAATACTGTCTTCAGTGTATCATTAGTAATTGATACTACAGCCAAAAGCAAAGTTCCAACAAAATACAACAAAGAGCTTCCATATATGGTGTTAAACCGACCAAGGTAAGAGTCAGCTAACCACCCACCAAGTAAAGGAGTGAGAAAACATGTTCCTATGAAAACAATGAAAACCACAATTCAGGTAAAGAGCTCTGCTCACAGACAATCCTTCACACTACTCTTGCATCAGTTTGCAAACTCTCCATACTGTTGTTTAAACATTTTGTATCATAATGGCACTTGCAAGGAGAATACGTTTAATAATCAAGAGAATCTTGACCTTGTGATCATTTGCTTTATTCTCATAACGTAAACATTTGATTCAAAGGTGATACCGTTGGGAGAAATTGGATGCGTATCACTCAGGTTTTAAAGGGTTGATGCTGTGCTTCATATCATCACATTTGCATTGTCACATTTCAGTGGGTGTCTTAGTTCTCAGACTGAAAGCTGTTGGATGCTTAAAAATTCTAGTTTGGTAAACTTGTATGTCACATGGCATAACTGAATATGTGAATGTTGTGAACCATGTACCTGACACATGTAAGCAATACAATGCAGAGGTTTACATGGCTGTAACTCCCATAGATCCATAAATATCAAGAATAGCAAGATAAGCATATTTTGAACTGTTCGCTTTTTTGGAGAAAGAAAAATGTGATAGGACTTTTTGATATAATTTTTGTAAAAGGTTCATCAAAAGGGTCCTTTAGGAAAAATAAAATGAATGACAAAATTTTGCAACTGTTGGCGGATTCTTGATATTTGTGGCCAGAGGCTCTTAATGACTGCAATTGTCAACTTGAGGCAGGTCTTTCCAACAAATATGATGCCACAAAGGGCACTAAGAGTCCTGTATAACTAGCTAAGGAGAGCCCTAAAACAATCTAGGGGAACAAAAAAAAAAAAGGATTTCCACACTTTGGATCACTGATTTCGAAAATTTGCCATCTCCAAAGGTAATCTAGGTATCCAGTAATCAATGAATTTTAAAAAGTAAAGCAAATGTATTAAATAAATTCATCAACCCTGCTAGGTCTCATCCCAAAAGTGATGATGCCTTCTCAGATTTCCCTGCAATCCAGTGAGGTCAAGGAACTGTGACCTGAAAACTACCGGTACCCACATTACTCTTTGGGGTTGTTGTGTGTGCTTTTACACTTTTTTCCAACAACCTTTCTCAAAACAGCTGTAATTAAAACGATAATTTAAAATGTAGTTTTTTTTCTCCCAGGATCATGGAACCCATCTTCTAATGCAAAAGGTAATCTGTAAATCCTGACTTTGAGATCACAGAATTAAAGAGGTACTTGGGCACAGATCTTGGTACATAAAAGACTCCCACTTTTAGATTTCATTATAAGTACAAATGGGAATTTTGGGATAACACTACGAACAAACCTTGGAACAAAAGAGTGATTGTTGATGGCCAAGTAGACCCAAGCTTTAACACATTGCTGCAAAATAATACTAGATTGGCAGATGCTCCATAGAAAGTCAGGCGCTCACATAACTCTGTTACAAGAATACACAATGCATTCAACATCCTTTGTTGTCTACTCAAGGCACTACTAAGATCAGAGGAATTGGTACCAGTGCTTGTCTCCCCACCAGGTGAGTAAGGTTGGGTGACTAGTTTCTTTGGAATTAATGGAGAAGTTTCATTTCCTTTCATAGCTGCTGACATACTGCAGGATTTCTAGGCAAAAACAAAAAAAAAAGGAAAAAGGCAATGAGAATATACTGAAGTGCCACATTCAAATGGCACTCGTGACCCACCTTCCTTTGCTTCTTTTTACATCAACTTGATTGGTGCCTGAGAGTCTTAACCATTTTAAACCTTAACATCAGTATCTGTACTCTCCATACTGTTCTCTTAACATTTCTTATAGTGCTGATAAGGAGAATTTGTGGAAAAATCATAAGCTTTTGTAGTTGATGACCTCTCCTATATTCTCACGACCTTCATGTTTAATTCAGCAAGTGAGATTGTGAGGAGAAATTAGATGCTGGTCACCCTTAGGTCTTGAAGTGTAAATAAAGGAACAGACTCTATGGTTTGCTTGCTTTCATATAAACTCTTTTTTTTTTTTTTCATCGCTGCAATTAGTTTTTCATGCAAGAATTCATCCCTAAAGGACAACTTCCTTATTCTTATTTACCCTTTAACTTCCTTGAGTGACCATTAGCAAGAAAGTAACGACTACAAATTTGGCGATTATGTGTTGATCTTATACCAAAATTCAAGAAAGTAACACCGTAGGAATGGTATGCCAGACGTAAGCTAGTTGAATTTTACTACTGAATTTTGGAAAGGTTAACTGGCGTTGTAAACAGCCATAAAAAGCAGCCTTAAAATGCCAGAGAGAGTATGCTTTTGACAAATATAGAGCGGCCACCGAGGCGTTTATGCCAGAGGTTGATTAAAGGTTGGGAGGTCTTTGAGGAATTAGCGAGGTGTAACTCTAGAATCAATAAGGTGTAAATAATTGACTCTTCATTCTGTCTAGATTCACTTTGATCAAAGTTTAAGACTTCTTGATTCGAATACAAGCCATCAGAATTATGAATAGATAAATTTTTCTGGACCTGTGTCATGATATTTTGTATGCTCATCGTTTAAGAAAGTGCATTTTCTGTCGCCATCTCAGAGACTCGAACTGAGAACAACAGGTAACTATGTCTTGTGGCTCCCCTTTCTTAAGTCGAGAACTGTGTATCGATGGGGAAAAAACTGGACTTGATAACCAATAACTAATGAAATACCGTCCATTTTCGCCTGGGATGCACTTGGTCACAGTAAGCGGAATGATCCATCTTTGGACAGCCGCGGCGTTGACTGTTTCGTAAAAATTTTGGAAACTTGCGAGAAATTTTTGGGC